ACTTCTACTATTAAGTTCAGTTAATTTTCTATTTGGGCCGATTATGAAAATCTTTGGTCTGGATGATCTGGGAGGGTAAAGATGCAACCAGGAACTGATACAGCTGTGACTACAGAGAATAAATTGTTATTTTTGGACAAAATACTGATGCAGTAGGGCTTAATACAAACATTGATAATGTTTTATTTATTTTAAGTTTGGAAACAACCTAAATATTATTTCTTGTACTACTTTAATATCAGCATAAATCAAGCTTGTTTAAACAAGACTCAGAGAGAAAAAAAATGTTAGGGTGTGGCAGAGAGCATGAACAGAGATCAGGTCAAGGGAGTGTAGTGTTTGGTAGTAATTACACACATCTCCTGATGACAAATCTATTTGGAAAAACACAGACCTCACATGAAACAAAACAGGCGTTCTACAAGAAGAGCTTTTTTTAACAGTAAAGTTGCTGATTTCGCCACTTTGTAATAGGAACACCATATATATTCTCTGTATGCATTACTGAAGTGTTGTGGCTGCAGATAAACAGGGAGGAAAGGACACTTTTTTGTTGCACAGAAAAGGGAGAAGGCTAGAGTTGTATGAACTACACCAAAGTGACGGAATTAATATATTGTTGAAAAAGGATTTAAAACATCATAAATCCTTCCTAAAAAGGCTAATTAGAGGTTAGATAAATAATTGATGATTTCAGAATCAGATGCTGACTTCCCTGTGAGGAAATAAGCTCCACCCATGTGCGTTCAAGCTTTTCCAATATGTGTTCATATTCTAAACAAAAAATGAGACGAAGATTAATCGATATAACAAATAACTTACTTAATAACTTAATTTAACTTACTTGTCAAGAAGAAAAGCGATAACATCCACACCCCTTCTGAACCGGTGTGCTTTCTTGAGTCATCCCCAACAGTCAAAAGATTGACTGATGTTTGTTTCTGCTTTAGTCTACTTTAATACAATAATTTTGCCAAGTAGAAGAAGCCTTTTCTCAGAGCTATAATGGAGCCACTATGATCTGGAAACAGCTCCTTCTAAAGTGGCTTCAGCCACGTTTTGACATCGTCAAATAAAATGAATTTATTCAGCAACACTCAAGATGTTCTGTTTGTATTACTTGAAAAAAAATATTTGTGAAGCCAACTTCTAGTTGTCCTTGATGCAGACACCCTGTCACCAAGGCTATTCCTTACACCTTATTTAGTAAAGCCAGATGTGTGATCCTTTCAGGTCTTGGCAGGATCTCAACTCTAGCTCATCCTTTTTACATCTAGAGTGTAACTGTTTTTTTTTTTTTCTTTTTCAAATCAACTCTATTGAGTGGATAATTTAACGAGCATTGCTTGCAAAATTAATCATAAATTCTTTTTTTTCCATTTTCTTCCCCATACTTGCCACAATTTTTCATATATTTTGGGGGGCATTTCATTTTTCAGTTACATTTCTTGTTAGGTGTGGCATAAACCCACATAGCAAACTACTGCATTCAGTAGTCACCTAACTGGTAAATCCATAGTTTCTCTTATGCCTAACGAATGGCAGTAAAGGGTGGGGCGGAAACAAAAGCAACGTTAACCCATGGCCAGGGGCTTGTTTCAGGACTTTTATAAATAACTGAACCATGAACATCAAGCAGTGTCATGAAAAAAGCTTTGAGGAATATTTGAAAATGCAAAAGTAATGCACAGTGGTCACTGAGTCTTGTTTTAAAGGGAAAGATAATAGGGCTGCTAGATATAGTATTTGCCCTTTTTTTTTCATTATGCAAAGATCTTAACTGGCCCTGTTGTTGTAAAGCAAATATATGTATATTATTACATAAAGCTTTTTCTTATTGAAACAAAAGAAGTAATTTTTTAAGGATCAATTACATTTTTCAGTATTCAGAGGACGAGCCAAGAGGCCCATGGAAACTCTGTACGAACTCAAGCAATTCACAGCTCATGTAACAGCAGTTTGACACTTATTCTTGTCAAGGCTCAGAACAGAAGACCCAGTCCCAGTATTCAAGGCAGACAGACAGATTTCTCAAAAAAGTGTTTATTTAAAAACTACGGTTTGGCAGCAGGCAGCTAGGGCGTCTATAGCAGGAACCTCTGCAGGAGGGAAACACAGGTTAGTGACCACGTTAAACTAGTGGAGGATGATTACGAATGTGTGAGTCACTAACCTGGTCTTAAAGTTCAGTCCGTGCCCAGAGAAAGAGGTAGTTTCCAGCCAAACGACTGCCAACACGCTGCCAACACGCGAACATTGCTTAGAGAGTTCCAGATGCTGAAGCCTTGAAGACTGCAGAATTAGCAGATCAGATCCAAGCAGACGAAGGTAAGCAGGATAATCCAGAGGAAGTAGCCTGAGCTGGTGTCGAAGAGGTTCAGGAATCAGGGGCCAGAAGATCAGAGACACGAAGAGGTACCAAAGGGGAATCCAGGTTGATGTCAGGAAGCAGTTTCAGGGTCGTTAACAAGCAGAATCCTGCAGTAGTCCGAAGACAGATCAGGCAAACAGATCAGAACGGGAACAGGCAGGCTCAGAGGTCCAAAGGCAGAACAGGTCAGGATCAGGCATCAGAAAAAAATACGACTCGCTAGGACACTCTCACCAAAGGCTCGGATAACCTGGCACTGATGACTGGATGCAGGCAGGTTAAATAGAGATTGGAGCAGGTGATACAGATGAATAGTGATTAGAAACTGGTCGGAGCTAGGCAGGTGAATGGAATGAACAATCAAGCCAGTCATCAGCCCCAAGATCATGCCCCAATCCCAAACTGTCCCTAACCACTAACACTTTGGTATCAAGTGTCACTCCCAGTGAAGTCCCACTCGCAGCTGTGCAAGGCGCCTTGATTGAACGTGGGGGTTATAAAGGAGAATGGGACAGCTTCTTCCCTCCAAAAAAAAGGAAAGAAGTCTTTGCTATGGGCCCCATGTGCATGGCTGTAGCTCTGTGGCACAGATTAACATAACATTAAGCTTTGCCCCTTTCTTAAAACAAATGTTTACAGTTACATAAAACAATTTCAAAGAAGACCTTCCATTTTGGAATAAATTACGTTTTTTGTCAGTATGATCAAGATGAGCAAACCTGTTGAATTTACATTTGGAGGAACATGTTTCCTCTGCCACCAGGCCACCGTTACATCTGCTGCCGAAATCCAGCAAGTCTGCAGCTGATGCAGACTCGCTATTTATGGGCTGAACGGTCAACTGGCCCTACCACTACACTGGAAATAGTATAACCTTGCTCAAATAAAAAAAAAAAACATGATGTCCAGATATCACATCAAGAACATTTGACTTCACAGAATCTGAATTGAATCTCTTGTTATGACCCAATTATTTTATGTTGATGTAAACAATAATACTTCGCTTGACCCAACGTAAAATCAAATAATTTTCTGAACATTTCATTTCATGAACCAACCTAATTTACTTATTTTTAACTAAATTTACATGAATTAATGTTTGTAGTGATACCAGTTAATTAGTTTAAATATAACCAAATTATAATTTTCACATTTCATTGGACTTTACTACAAAAATTAATTCCATTTCCCATCTTACAAACTGTATTAAAAAAAACCTGGATTACTTTAAATGTATTTATCAGTTGTTAATATACCCTTATACAAGCAATGTTTGTTTATCTCTGGATGTAGCCCAGTTGAACGAGCGAGGGCTTTTGGCTAGCTAACGTTAGGAATTCATTGTCATAACGTTATCGGTAAATGCGTAAACCCTCTCAGACGTCAGCTAGCTAATATTAGCTCGTTAACTAGCCAGCTATAACAGTGATTATAAGCAACTTCTTTACTACTTGCGTTTATTTATAGGTGTAATCCACCCAGGATTTTGAGACGATGAAAATGGTGCTGTCTCATTGTCTGGGACTTGGAGTTGGACTCAATTCACATGTGACTCAAACAAACAAACAAAAAAGACCTGCAGATCATGAATAAATACATACATATGGCGAGAAATCAAAAATTTTGTTTTGGGTCCTTTGTAGGTGTATTTAGTTCAGAATAAATCAAATTTGATGTCTCAAAATCCAAAAAGAATGAGTTACACAATCAAATCAGTAATTTTATCCAGTTTAGAGTGACAGTCATTAGTTTAAATGAACAGCTACATGTTACACTTTTTTCAGTGTATGTAGTTTGGGATCCTTCTGCATGGAGCTTGCATGTTCTCCCAGAGAATGCGTGGGTTCTCTCCAGGTACTCCGGCTACCTCCCACAGTCCAAAAACATGACTGTTAGGTTAGCTGCTTTCTCTAAATTCTCCTTAGGTGTGGGTGTGTGAATGGTTGTTTGTCCTGTTTGTCTCCGTGTTGCCCTGAGATGGACTGGCAACCTGTCCATGGTGTACCCTGTCTCTCGCCCGTAGACAGCTGGAGATAGGCACCAGCACCCCTCATGACCCCACTTGGGATTAAGCTTGTCAGATAATGAATGGATGGATGTGGTTTGGGATGGCACTTAATGTGGTGGACCCTTTGCGTGAACGGAGGGTGAGTGCTAGGGTTAGTATAGGGACCCAGTTTGGGATTGGGCCTATGACAATTCGTTTTGTACTCTGGAAAATGAGTAAATGTTCAATAAGACTTCTGCACCTGCTGACAGCTATGTTAGTGAACTGTTTAAGAGCACTGTACTTTAATTTTTCTGGGACAGTTTTTTGTTTTTTAGAGTAATTTTTCAAATAAAAGTTCAAAATCAATATTTTATTTTACTAAATTATCATTTAGTAAATGTTTATTTCTTATCACTTTCTTCAGTTTTGTAGGATTTTAATTACCAGTGTGAATTTACAATTTTCTATTCAAGCATAGCTGAAATTATTAACAATACTTCACTAATCAGTAAACAAACACATATCAATCTGAATAGACACAACATACGTAATGGCCCAATATGCCCCCCACCCCCCTATTTGCCACATCACTTATAGCATCCGGTGCGGGAGGGGTTGGGATGAGGGGCGGGATGTCTGGGTGAGGAATAAAGCTACAGGCATCTGCTGCTTCTCCTAGGCGATATATTACATATAGGCAGTAATTTCCTTTTTTTTCGTCTAAACGCATCATGATATGATGGTTTGTCATATGCTTATTTTTTATTGTATATCTGCTTTGAGTGTCTTAAGGAAAAACAACTACAATATTTTATTTTAGGAAGGTTGATGAGCTTCTTTTTTTTTCTGAAGGGATATTCCAATATATTGATGTAAATAAGATGCACTATAAGATCAGCGGTCTGGTTCGACTGATATCCAGATGATGAAAGCGGGAGGCAGTTATTTTCTTCATGTGGCAGAGATGGATGTGAAAACAGCCCCATCAGCGATGGAAGCCTTAGCTCGGATCAGCGTGAGTGTCTTTAAGGTTATTTGGATGTGTCTTTGGATTAAACACATATGCTTTCTGTTGATTGCATGTGAAAAAAACAGAAAAAAGAAAAAAAAACATCCATCGCGTAATTTTCAATCCTATTGAAATATATTTTTTGTTAAAAAGCGCAATGCTATGGAGAATCGCCACGTTTTAATTAATTAATTAATTAATTGCTGTTATTTTCACCTGAGGTGAAGATACCTGGGGGAGCGTGATTGTTCTTGTCAGAAATTTTTTTCAAACATAAAATGGTGACTAAAACCACACATTTTATTACGGTGGCTCCGTTTGTTTCCATGGAGACGGGATGCAGCCAGGATTCCGGTTTGATGCTGAGGATAGAGGCAACAACGGGCATGGAGGCTTTTTCCTTCAGAACGCTCAGTTTCAAGAGCGATGGTCGGAGCGCAATAAGATAAAACAAATAAACAAACAAAAAAAAAAAGAGTAGATATAGAACACATAGATCTGCATTGATGTGCTTGCATTGGGGCTTTTTCACACCTCCTCCGTGGCGATGTAACGCCTTAAACCCCTCCCCTGCTTTCCAAGAGAGCTGCCTCTCTTCATGCGGGTGGAGGAACTGACTATGCACGTATAGTCCTGCCGTCATGGCGCCCAGATTCCAGGTGAAGGTAAGGATGCGCTGCTTTAACGCCCTGACCACCACCAGCAGCAGCAGCAACACGCACTGGCCGTTTTAGGAAGGATGCACAGGGGTTCCAGTTTGCAGTGGGATCTGTAGCCTGGATGAAAACATGGCAGTGGCCTGAAATGTGAATCCGGGAGTATGTGGCAGACAGGCCGGAGCTGGCATTGGAGAATGGCAAGAAAGGTGGACTGAAGGATAAAGTGATTTATTCCGATTCCTTTATTGATTCCAGCTTTGCGCTTTTTGTGTGTGCGCTTGCTTAGCTTTCTTTCCCTTTGCAGGTGCAAAGGCTGGTTATTATCAACCAATGTGCTGGCATGATCTATTCTTTTATTTCTAGAAAGATGCCGGTGCTATCACTCGGATGCACCACTAGTTTTTTTTGTTACCCTGCTATATTAAACATGATTTCCTTTCACCACATCTGGTTGCTGAGATAAGCTGTCCTGTTTTCCTCCATCATATCACAGCAGTGACAACCTTCTCTAATTCTCCTACGCAGCAGATTCAGACATTCCTGTCTTCAGCTTGAGGTTAATTCATAATGAGTGAGGTGGCAGCAGCAAGAGCTGCAACAGTTTTGCTTTTGGGTTGAGGTTGTGTGTCAAGGGCATCCAATGAACAGATAAGAGAGAGAGAGAGAGAGAGAGAGAGAGAGAGAGGAAACCAAAAGCTACAATGTCCTGCAAAATGCAAACTGAAAATGCAGTAAAGGCTGCAAGTAAGAAATCATCAGGAGAGCTGTCTTTAGCTAGAACCACACTGGTGACAGTTTAAATCATACATTTTCAGAGAAGTAAATGTGTGTCAAATGGAAAATGGAGGTTCTTTCTCAGATCATCAGTTTTCTGTGCTAGATAATGACGTTAAAGATAGAGAGCCAGCAGGCCAAATGGATGTGAGGATGAAGGTTGGGATGAGGGATACTAGAGGTGCACTGATCCAGTTTTTTTCTGATCCAGCCCGATACCGATAACTGGGCTGAACGTATTGGCAGTTCTCTGATACATCCAAAACAACTGTTAAATGATTCAACCATACATGTGACACCATCCTGGAGAGAAATATGAGCTGTGCTGCTGCCATCAACACCTTTGTTTATAGATGCTGGAGATCGGCCTGTTTTCCAGAATAGTTCTTTTTCTCTGAACGTGACTGGCTGGATGTGCTCTCTTTATCCTCGGACATGGGAGCTGGCTCGGAGCTCGTCTGCCTGGCTGTGTGTTTCCTGGCCCGGGCCGCCTTTTACAGCTGCTTTTTTTGTATCTCTGCTTCTGTCTCCTTGAACCCCAATCGACCTCGGTAGATGTCCGCTCACACTGAGCCTGTTTCTGCTGGAGGTTCCTTCCTGTTAAAAGGGAGTTTTTCCTCTCCACTGTCGCTACAAGCATGCTTAGTGTGAGGGATTACATTTGAGTCAATGAGTGGATGCAATCAACTGGTTTTCCTTAGATAGGAAACTTTGAATCAATTTGACTGTATGATCTGGTGAACTGTAAAGTGCCTCGAGATGATATGTGTTGTGAATTGGCGCTATATAAATAAACTGAATTGAATTGAATTGAATCTGGCAGTGTGAGTGAATGTTTTGGCTTTGACATTGCTTAGAGTAGATATGGAACAGACAGATCTGCATTGATGTGCTTGCATGGGGTAGTTTGCTTTGACAAAGCAAACAAATTAAAACTGATATAAATGTACTTTTTATTATTTCTTGAGGAAGCAGCAAAAAGAAAGATAACAGTTCCTTGCAAAGTGCACTGGATTCGATCTCCGATATCTGATATGAAATCACCGCTATCCCATCCGGCTAATTAGTAAATATCAGAGCCGATATGGGATTCAGGTGTCGGATCGGTGCATCAACAAGGGATAATGAGGTAAAGGGTGAAAAAAATGTGGGCAATGAAGAGAGATTGTGGGATGACATCCTGTAGGAATGAAAAAGGAGATAAAATGAGTGAAACATGAGATGAGGGAGGTAGTTGGTAGGGTGAAGGAAGTTACAGGGAGATGGTGGTAGTTTAGGAATAAATGTTGAATAAAAAAGATGGTGGAGGTATGGGTTAGAAATTAAGGATCAGTAGTCATATGGAAAGTAATGGGTGACAGATCAGGAACATGATAAATGGAATATGGAAGGGTGAGGGAGGGAATAATACTGAATGAAGAAGGTAGGTGTGAGAGATAAGAAAGGAGGAGGGAAAATGATTTAAGGATGAGGAAAGAAGGGTCAAGGGATAAAAGACGAAGGGTCAGGTCATGATGAAAGTTGGGGGATGAAATAACTTAATTTATAGCTCTGGACAGCCACAGTATGAGTAGACCGTTGGGTGATTATAAGTTGTAAATAAAAAACCACATTTGCATGTGTGGCAAAAAAATGATAAGGCTCAATAATTGTTAAATAAAGCATATTTTGAATTTTGGCCAAAGATGCAGGCTACTGTTATGTAAGGAATGCGGAGGCTGAATATTTAATGTTTGGTCTTTATCTATAATTAACAAGTTTGGTGGCCTATGTCACCTCTCTGGAACATCTTTACTTAGCGGCCATTTTTATTCCCAGACCTCAGTAATTGACTATAGAGGTGAACATGTTTTGAGTTTAAAGCATGTTCCCATTATTTATTTTCTCTTCCCATTGTTCATTTTTGGCCTTTCTAAGCATCTTGTTAAAATTCTGAGATAATAATAATAATTTCTCCTCTCTCCCTGCAGTCTAACATGAAGAGTCTGGAGCATGAGTTGCATTGTCCTGTGTGTAAGGAGATTGTCAAGCAGCCGGTGGTTCTGCCGTGCCAGCACAGCGTCTGCCTGTTGTGTGCCTCCGAGGTCTTGGTGGCTAACGGCTACCCTCCTCCTGAGCTTCCCCCAGAGCCCAACTCTCCTGCCTCCACACCTAACACACGCTCTCCTCGTCAAGCACGCAGGCCCACTCCCAAACACGAACAGCGGCCCTTCGACCGAGTCCTACGATCAGGTAGGACATTTGACCCATCATCCGTTGAAATAATCTTCTTGTTTATATATGTTTGCTTAAATTTAACTGGTTGTTTGTCTCGACTTGAGGTCCCCATCCGCCTTCACCATCCATGCCTCGTTCTCCTGGACATGGAACATATCCAGGGCGCCGCCGCAAGGAGGGTCCTCCTCTTGTGATGATGTTTCCCTGCGTCCCCTGTGGCCGAGATGTTGAGCTGGGAGAGAAGGGCCTGACTGACTGTCTCCGCAATCTCACATTGGAGCGCATAGTGGAGAGGTAGATGTCACATAATAATCATGACATGTTGCTAATTTTATTTCCTATTCTGCACCACTCAATACTTACTTCACTTACAATGAGCACACTGCTTTTGTATTATAACTTAGCTCCCATTTTTTGCAGTTTTTGCCACAAAAAGAATATATTCCACTATTTAATGACATCATATGCCTTATTTGGCTCTTGAGGGCGAGATATATCAATTTGACACATATGCCTTACATAGGATAACTATCAAGAGTACAATAAGACAACTTGGTGCTAAAATACAGAGATGTGGGTTCATGCCCAGATCTCATTATTTAGCTGCAGCTGAATTGTTACAAAATCCTGCACAGTGTGCACTGCAACGTGCTGTACTGTGGCTACACTTAATGATTGAGTCTTTCTACAGAAGCTTACTCCTCACTTTTAACATATGTTGGGTTCAGTTGCACTTTAAAGAGAGGCTAACAAGATTGTCGGATTTTTTTTATTGCTTTCTTTGCACTCCCCCATCAGGTACAGACACACCGTGAGCCTGGGCAGTGTTGCTGTGATGTGCCAGTTCTGTAAGCCTCCTCAAACTCTGGAGGCCACCAAGGGCTGTGCTGATTGCCGGTCAAATTTTTGCAATGAGTGTTTTAAGCTCTATCATCCTTGGGGAACACCGCGAGCGCAGCATGAGCACATCCAGCCGACACTTAATTTCAGACCAAAGGTAAAAAAAAACCTTATTGCTTATGTTCCTTTGCATACAATGTGCTGCAAATACACATTTCTAGTGTTTTGCAGCCTCTTATCTTGCTTTCTATCAGAATTTGTTTATTTATTTAGCTCCAGTTATATCCTCATCATCCTGGACCTGCTTGACTTAGCACAATATTGCCACCATCTTGTTTCGCTGTCGGATGATAAGTATTAGGGAGATGTCCAGTCTTAGTTTTACATTCCAAATGAGATGTAGGGTCTCTATGGTAACTCTTGTGATCCTTTGCAATGTTTTGGTGTGCTTGCAGTTATCTTTTATTTCAGTTTCTTAGGTACGGTATGGTAAATGAAGTTGTTAGAAGTAAAAACCTAAAACCTTTTTTTAACTCAGTTTGTTTCTGTATTTTTTTGGGGATTTGCAAAACAACCAGATTATAGAACAAGCAGGTATTACACATAGATTAACTCTTCCAGTTAGCATCCAGATATTAGCATGTCTGGAGGCAAATGGGTGCATTGATTTTGTATTTTTTGTATTGTAGGCTATTATAGTAAACAGAAAATAAGAAAAGCACAGAATACCTTTTAGAATTTGAGTAAAAAAAAAAAAAGATAATTACGCATATGTTTGTTTTGCTGCATCACATAAAATGTCCATTAAAGCAATAAAGTATGTGAGGTTTTATGAACAAGTTCAAGTGGAACAGATTGTTGTCCAAGGGTACACATGTTATATTTAATTTGTATAATATACCATAAAGCTTGTTTGTATTAAAGCTATTGACGGCTTTTTTTAACAACATACCACTAGAATGTCAAGACCATTAAGGTCTCTGTACTCCTTGGTCTTGGTTGGTGTGATCTTGAGTACAGCGCTAGTACCTTCACTCTCCAAATGCATTCTGCTGTCTGAACCATTTATGAGCTAAACATAGATTTATATTCTTTTCATATTTTTTTTTTTGTACCTATATTCTTTTGTTTGCATTTTTGTTTTTCTATTTAAAAATTATCCAAAGTTGTCCTCTGTGTTAGAGAAATATGACGATAATTTAACAATCGCAAAAAAAGTTACACCTCTTCTAACTGTTGAGTACCATTACATGGACTGTGTTCTATAACAAAGTAAAAACCTTTGACATTCTGAGTTTTACTCCGGTTGCTCCAAAACTATCGCGCAAAACTAGTTGTGCATTTCAACTATTTTAATTATAGATTTTTCTCTGTCTTTCAAAATTACAAAAAATGTGTAACTTGTAACTGTTACTGTTTGTAAATAAGAAAGTTAAAAAAATGTAAATCTCAGATATTTTATTTAATTTCTCTCTATGACTTAAAAATCATTGTATTCAAAGTATTCTATTCTATTCTATTCTATTCTATTCTATTCTATTCTATTCTGTTCTGTTCTAGCGATAATAATACAGTGGTATAAAGTCTTACCCCAGATTTATTTTTCATTTTTTCCCCTCAGGTTCTGACCTGCACGGAGCACGACCAGGAGAAGCTGCAGTTTTATTGCAGGTCCTGCCAGCGGCTGCTCTGTCCACTCTGCAAACTGCGACGCATCCACACTGGACACAAAATCCTCCCGGTGGCACAGGCTTATCAAGCCCTCAAGGTGTTTTACAACTAAACATTTTGTGAAAGCTTTGACTGAAGCTCGCTTTCTTTCTTTTGAGCTTAACTAAGACGAGAGGACCTTTTCTTGCAAACTGTATCTAAAAAAAGTTATTTTTTTCTTAATCACTTTAGAAATATATTATTCAAGCTTGTACCTTCATTAATATCTTTAGTATGATTATGATGAAGTAAAAAGTACTATTTAAAAAGTATTTCATGTAAGTTATTTATACTGAAAATTATACTGCAGCACTGGGCTGAATTTGGATGTTAGTTTCTCTTACATTAGATTAATAAAATTATAGATATTTTTTCCAGCTCTATAAGTATGTTAAAAATTGCCATTCAGTGGATCCTCTCTCAATCAATAAATGTTGAGTCTTTTCTTTCTATTGTATTTTCTCAATTTTTTGTCCTTCTTATTTTCTCCCTTTCCTTTCTCCTTTCTTGTGTGCGTTTTTCCTTCCTGTCCTCCCTCGGTCAGGCTTTTATCCCTGCCTTATGGCATCCATTCTTACCTCGACCCATTTGCGCTTCTGTTTTTGTATCTTTAGTTCTTTTCTTCTTTATTTCCTCTTTTTCTTTAATAATTTTGCCATCTTCTATCCCTCCTTCGTTCTTATCTTTTAACCTCGTCTGCATTTGTTCTTTCTTACTTTCCTCTTACCTTCATTCAGTGGTGGCTGGTGGAGTTGTCTCCAAGGGGGGCTATAACTTCAAATAGACATATACCAAAAACCAACCAAATGTATACTAAAGTATCACACCGATGTGTTTACATGATAGCTAAATAATCATATAAACCTGCGAATCAGCTGCACTTTATAACAGACGACTGTCACGTCAGCTCTGTGGTGGGAGGTTGTGTGCAAATAAAGTTGCTCTTAACTCTGGGTGCCAAAGAGCTGCTCCCCAGGATGGTCCTATCTTTTGCATTGAAAAGGAGCTACTGAGAGTGCACATTTTTTAACAAGAGTCTATGGGCAAAAATATTTGCACCCCAGGGCGAAATCTGTCCTCAATCTGACGATGAACGAAACAGCTTTACTCGTCTTTAAAGATTAAATATTTATCTTGCACATCTAAAACATATATTTATATATTATATATTTTGAAATTTGCTATTTTATAATTCTATTTTTTTTGTTTTTCTATGTCTTTATCAAGGTCGTTGGGTGAGTAGGGTGGCTCCTTTGCACCCTCTGTTGACCCGCCCCTATTGCCTTCATTCCTTCCTTGTAACCTTCCTTTCACCTCTGTTTTTTTGCTGTTATCAAGCAGAAACTCTGCCCACTGGATAAATATTTGCCATAAATTCACTGTAAATGTTTGCATTTTAACCTTTAAAATACCTGAAAAGGGATGACAGGTTATTTGGTCTGAATAAGTTTTCCAAAATCACATAGAATGGTTCCCTTCGTCAGACATAGAAACTTGTTTGTTTTAATTTTTCTCAAAACAACCATGCATTAAACTGTAACCTAATGGTGTTTGTGTTGCTTTATTGCTTCTTTATGTTTACAGGAGAAGATAACTAAAGAGATGAACTACATCCTGTCCAGCCAGGACACAGTTCTGGCTCAGATCACCCAGCTAGAGAGCGCCATCACTCAGACTGAGGTGATTACAACACTAGTAGTGTGGTTCTCTAAACTATAGTTAACTATAGTTTAAAGAAACAGTGTTTTGCTAATTTGACTTTTCCAAGAGTTTCCCTGAAGGAGTAATCCCAAGGGATAAAGTTGAGTCTAAGTATGAATCAGTATGAATACTTTGTTGGAACTCAATCTTACAAACTGAAGGTTTGGAAAATTATAATTTTGTTAAAGGTATTGTGGAGGATTTTCGCAATTTTTTTAAAAGACCCATCCTCTCCACAACTCTGTACCTGCTCCCAAGAGCAAATGCACATTTCGGGGACCATATAGTGGACTTTATAGGACTTTACTTTCTAGTTCAACCAAAGGTCTTAGGATCCCGGCTGCTTAGGAACTGCTGGAGGATCACTAAGTAGCAGTAAACCTACAGTACTCTCAGTCCCTCAGAACTGTCAGCTAATTAATTGTATTGTTGTTCTGGTTATTTATGAATATTAAAATAAATTGGTTATATATGTTTTAAGATAAACTTTGTATTGGCTATATTGCATTAAGTCTTTTTTATAAAGTTAACTACTCTACTTTTTTTAATAAAGTACATTTTCAATATAAAAAAGGGGCTGTTGATAAACCTATATTTGAGAGACATTTTAGATCCTCTATGTTTTTCATCACTAGGTGAACAGCGTATCAGCCAGAGAGCAGCTTGCCCAGAGCATCAGGGATCTGACGGCTGCCCTAGCTGAGCGCCACGCCTCGCTCACCCAGGCTCTGGAGGCGGCGCGGCAGAAACGAGGAGAGGCGCTGTCTGCTCAGGTGGCGGAGAGACGCGGCTTGATGGAACACGCAGGGCTCATGGCTTTCACTCAGGAGCTGCTGAAAGAAACTGACCAGCCCTGTTTTGTGCAGGCTGCTCGTCAAACTCATAACAGGTTTTCTCTTTTGTTGACCTTTGGTGTTACACTCAGATCCAACCCTTCATGTATACTGGAAAAAACATTAGAAACCCTTTACGAGAAGCATTTCCTACCTACAGTACCAGAGCAAAAGGCCATTTATAAATTATTTAGCTTACATAACTCTAGAATCAAAAAGCAGATTACTTTAAATATCAGCTCTCCAGCCAAACTTTTTATGAATGAATCCCAAGAGCACCAGACTGAGATTAGACCGCTATGTCACAAAATGACAAAAACCCAATAGACGTATCTCCGATTCAACTTTGAATTTTGAATAACTGCACATGTGCAAGACCATCCTTCCTGCTCTTCTGCTCCTTTGGGGGAACAACTTTTAAATGTATATGCGTGCCCTGTTGACTTCTTTCAAATGTCACTCTACGGACTGTCTGCATTAATCGAATTTTAAACGCATACAGAGAGAGCAGTGAAGGTACACTGAATGAATGAAACTGGATACGAAATACTGGAGTGTTTACGCTCAGCAAAGGAAAACTAGCAAGCACATGCCTCGAATTATCATTGGGTCAACCAATCTTTGCAGTAATGATTGATAAAAACACTGTTGCCCTTTAATTATATGATTGCTTAATATGATTGCTCTTTATAAAAAAGTCTCAAGATGTTTTCTGCTAAGAAAACCAATTTAAAAATGTATTTCCACATCTAAACAATCCTTAATGTTTATCTCCTCTCCGTTTAAGTCATACTTTCTTATAAATATAACCCAGAAGACCAAATTCAGCATGGATAAATAAGTTTGCACCAACTTGACACTAATGTCTTTCTTAGAACTAATGAGCTGTTTTTTTTTTGGCTCGGTTTAACAGATTTGTTAGGAGATATAAAAATCCATAATGGCTGCGGTCTTGTCTTGTATTAAATAACTTCAACATTATTTGTATCCCTTTAATCCCTCTTGCTGAAAGAATTGTATAAACTCTGCTCCTCCGCTAACTCTGTGTTTATTTTTAATTTTGAACTGAAACAGGTTGAGCAAAGCAATTGAGAATCTTCAGCATTTCACTTTGGCCGCTGATCCATCCTTCAGACACTTCCAGCTGGATGTTTCCAAAGAACTCAAACTCCTGACAGAGCTGAACTTCATCCAGGGTGAGAAAAAAGACGTGAAAGAAAAGGGTGAAAACACATGGACAGAAAATAAAACAGAAAAAAGATAAAGAGATTAATTAAACTGAGTAAAAATGAACAGTAGTGAACAGTGAACATGCTCTCGTTGCAGCTCCTCTGGCTCCTGTGATCGACACCCAGCGCTCTCTGGCGTACGACCAGCTCTTCCTGTGCTGGCGTCTGCCTCAAGAGTCTGTGCCCGCCTGGCACTATTCTGTAGAGTATCGCCGCCGAGGCGTGGTGCCTGGAGGTGCTTCCAGGGGTGGGATAAGAGGGGGGCTCTCTGCCGCCAGATGGGGCTGGCAGCGGCTGGATGAGGTGAACGGAACCAGCGCCGTGATCGACAGGTTGGAGATGGACAGCGTGTACGTGCTCCGCGTGAGAGGCTGCAACAAGGCGGGTTATGGAGAGTACAGTGAGGAGGTGTACCTGCACACCCCACCTGCACCAGGTGAGAAAACACTTATCTTGCCTTGAAGCAACACTAATACAAAACCAGTTTATTTACAAACGATTTGTTCTTTAACGGTCACCACATATGAATGGATCTATGGTATGAGCTACAACATTCCAAAATTCACAAGCCTTGTAATAAACTGCTCCTGACCTAAGATAATCGGATGCATATATAGAAGCACCAGACTCTTACTCAGGTGTTTTAATTATCCTCGGCAGATACAGATAAACTTTTAAAACAAAGATTCTTTCCACCTGGCATTCATTTCTTTATAAAATCGTTCTTTTTTTTTCCCAGTTGTCATTCTCTGGGAACTTAATCTTGGGCCTTTACAAGCTATTGTGAGATCTCTGGCGTTTTTCTGGTGTGAATGAGCTCTCATTCAAGATGACTTACATGTATTTAAGGAGGCAAAGGATAATTTCTCTATCTACCTGACGATCAGTCCTTTTTTTGCTTTGTTTTTGCTCCTTCTTATTTTTACCACATTAAAGTCACAAAAATGTGTCTTATTGTGAATGACTTTAATGTGGACTCTATTATGGTTCCAGACAACGAGTTCTCTGATGTTCATGGAAAAGGTCTTACCTGCGTGCACAATTTCTAAGTCTTCTTCACCGGCCTGCCTGGTCTCTAGCACAACGTCTCTTGCAAGTACCAACACTCTTGGATCTTACTCCTGGACCTTTGGTGTCCATGCTGCAAAGCCTGCTAAATAAAACCCCTACAGATCCATGCTACCTCCCCTTCAGTTCGCCAGTAAGGAAATCAATCAGTCATCAATTGTCATTAACCAACTCCTTCCCAATCACTATGCGTTCTCCCCTCAGACCAATCAGAAAGTTCAACTGAGTTCCTGCAGTCCGCCGCTTCCAGATTTTTGTTTTTACGTTTGTAAATAAATCTTTAAAATTCACTGGTTCTGTACATAATTCTGCATGTGGCTCAAAAAAGTGACAAACAACATCACAAAATCCTCTGGCAAGTCTGGCCCGGCAGAAACTCCCTCGCCCTCTTGCACTGAACATGAATTTTTTTCATCATCACGATCAGTTAATCCACTTTTTTGCTGCACAGCAAAGGGGTTTAGAGCAGTTTACAGACATGTTTCAGGTGCTGCTTTACAGAATCACTTCTGCAGGATACTGAGCTAACTCATCCCTCAACTTCACATTTGTATTTTGCCAACACCCAAAAGAGATCAAGCCCTGCAGTAGGCTGAAGCAAGATTTGGGGTGAGTTTCAATTCCAAATTTGCTTAAATTTTCCAGTTTACCGCTGAATTCAAACAGATATTTGGAAATACTGAGTCAGTTTCAGATATTTTCTGTAAGATGTGGAATTTAAACAGTGTAACCACCCGATATCAGACTCTGCCATTGAGTTTTGAACTCTGGCAGCCTCTTCAGCCTTGAACCTTGAAGCTTTAAAGGGTGTTTTTTTTTAAGCCTTGGATAAAAGACTTAAGGATCAAGTAGTGTTCAGAAAGGAGTCTAAAACTCTAGAGGAACTAATCTCTCCGGCTATTCGCTTTGGCAACAGTTTTCAGGGGAGATTCTGGAAAACAACAAAATCATTTACCTCTTCCCGAATCTCATCTTCCAGATTGTTCACTGGCTTCTGTTTCTTTTAGGCCAGATCTAGAGGAACCGATGTAGATTGGCTGTACCCGGTTTTCACCTGAAGAACAGCAACGTCAGAAGAAAACTGGGCTCTGCCTGTATTGTGGTGAGATTGGTCACTTAATTTCTTCCTTCCCAAAGCAGCAAAAAGGGAAGTTTTAAGAACAGATGCTTTCTCATGACATTACCCTGCTCTCTCCTACTAAATCAGTCCCTCTTTTGCTGTAATCGTTTCTGGTTGTGAACAAAGCCTTATGGATAACAATTTAGCTGAACAATTACTTATCACCTACTTGAACAACTTCATGTCTCGGCTCTAGATGGAAGTTCTTTGCATGAAATCACGCACTGAAGAGAGACAGTAAAACTTTGTGTCAGGCAATCATATTGAGGAAATGATTGTTCCTTTTTACTCCTCACTCCCATCTCCCATTGTTTTAGGGTACTATTGGCACACCCTTCAAAATTCTAACCAGCACTTGAAAGACAATAGAGTTAAGTCATGCAGTAACCACTGTCTGTCTACAGTCTGCCTCTTCTTTATCAAAGCCAAGAAGTGTGAGTTTCATAACACACCAGTCACCTATTTGTGACACACTCTCTGAGCAGGCAGGTGAAGACAAATCCATAGAAGATTCAAGCCATTCTCAATTGGCTTACTCGCTCAACTCGCAAGCAGCTACAATGTTTTTTTTAGGATTTGCCAAACTTCTATCTCAGATTCATTAAAAACTACAGTCCAACAGCTCAACCCCTCACTAGCCCTACATTCTCCAAAATACCTTTCATGCAGTCACCTGAAGCCGAAAGCACTTTTTGGAGCTCAAGAAAAGGTTTGCCAATGCCCTCATCTGTTTCAGCCAGAGAAATGGTTTTCCCTGAAGTTGATGCCTCTGGTTTAAAAGTGGGTGTCGTCTTTTCTTAAAGTCCCTCTGATGATATAAACTTAATCCATGTACTGTCTTTTCCCTTTGAAGGCACATAGGAAAAGAAGGCAAAGCTAGTCACCAGCCTCACAGGGGTCTTCTTCAACCATTGCATATCCCTAAACACGTATGGTCCCATATAGGCTTGGATTTCAGTAAAGGACTACCTCCATCTAAGGGTTTCACCCCCATCCTCACTATAATTGACCGCTTCTCCCAAGCCTGCCACCTCATCCCTCTTCCCCGAATTCCAGCCTCCCTTGAGACATCTCAGCTCTTTACTAAGCATGTTTGTACAGCGGTCAGCAATTTATCTCCAGGGTCTAGAAGGATTTTTGTACTTCTTTAGTGGCGAAGACTTAGCCTGACGTAGTCCTACTCAATTCTAGTCAGAATATGAGTCTGATACTGCTCTATAGAGCTGTGATTATGGGGCGTGTTTTGAACGAACCAGAAAAAAAAATGCCTCTGCACTCAATTGGATAGACCTACAACCAATAAGAGCAACGGAGTGCGTGACGTATGTTAAGCGACGCATACTTGTTGTCAACAAAAATCAAAGCGTGCAGTTGCACGCCTAGAATAAGAAGATGAGCCTTGATCGCGTTTCTCTGTTCCTCTTTTAAAATTAATGAGCTGTCCATATCTTCTAGAACAGACCTAATAGCAGAATCTACTCACCTCAACTCTCCAGCCATTGTTGTTGTCACCCAAGCATGCTTGGGTGACGTGGTTGATTACGTTACTGTTGATCATCTGTCCATCATCGTATAAAGCCCGCCCTGACAATTTGATTGGCCCGCCAGATATTGTGCGAACATACTCGCGCTACTATTGAGCAATGCCAGACCGAACTCCCCGACCTCAAACGTTGTGGGCGGGACTAAGTTCGGAATGGCACCCAGGCTAGCAAAGACTGCTCTCGGTTTAGTTTTTCTTCCCCTCTTCCCCCTGAGTCCTCTCTTTGATACCAACCTCCCCTGTTTCCATTTGATGAGCAGGAAATTGCAGTTAACTATGTCAAACACTACATCAGACGGGTCTGGAACCGGAAGGTTTCTGCCTTAATACGGTCAGTGGAAAAAAATCGGCATCTGGCCGATTAGAGAAGGATTCCAGCTCCCCAGTACTAACCTGGACAAAAGGTTTGCCAATCAACATGGGACATTAACCTAAAGGCTTGTAATCGCAAACTCTGTTACAGATTCAAAGCTCCATTAAAAATCCAGGCAGTGCTCAATGGGTCTGTGGTTTGCCTCAAACTGCCAGATCATTTTTTTGTGCTATTTTTTCACATCTCTCTGATCAGACCTGTCATGTCTAGTCCTCTTTGCACTCCTTTCAGCCCCCCTCCACCCACCCACAACATAAGCAGACACCCAGGCTTCACTGTGTGAAGGATTTTGGATGCTTTTTTCCAAGAAAGGGGTTTTCAGGATCTGGTGAATACGGAGAGTTGTGGATCTTAGGAACAGTCTTTGAACATTGTTTTTTTTTTTTTTTTGGACTCTGACCGTGTTTGGGACTTCTGGTCATCTCACTCTTCCTCTTCTAGCAGTAGCAGTCCTTGAAAGGGGGGTTAATGTTAGGGTTTCTGGGGTTTTGCTGTTTGTTGGAGCTTCCTGACACAGACACATCTTTGCTGGTGGCTGGATTGACCTGTGTTGATGCACACCTGAGTCATTTCTCAGTCAAGATGACTAGAGTGTATATAAATAGACGAAGGATCATCTCTATTCACCTGATGATTAACACTGATGGTATTTCAGCCAAAGACCCAAACCAGGAATATCTTTCTCATTAAAAAATTTCTTATATTTAAATCTTTAGTGTGAACTCTGTTATTATTCCAGACAACCAGTGAACCTAAGTCTGTCTCCAGTCGGCATGGAAAAGGTCTTACATGTGTGCACCAGTTCTCAGTCTTCATTACCTGCCTTCACGTTCTGCAGCACAATGTCTCTTGGAAGTACCAACGCTCTTACATCTCACTAACATTCCCCTGGACTTCTGGGATACAGTCTACAAAACCCAATGAATCAAACCCCTACAGAACCATGCTACCTCAATCAGTCATCAGTTTTCATCAACCAACTCCTTCCTGAGTCTTCTTTTTCCCCTCAAACTACCCAGAAACTTGAACTGGTTTCTTGCAGTTCTCAGCATCCAGATTCTTGTGGCTTTTGTAAATAAAATGTTGAAACTCACTAGTTCTGTCTGTAATTATGCATGTGGGTCGAAAAAAACTACAAACCAACATGACAGCTATCAGATATAAACAACTAAGTTAATCATAACAACATAGTCCTCTGTGTTTAATAATTCACTATATTAAAAGATTTCATTATTTGAAAAACACGAATAAACTGTTATTTATTAAGCCGCACCCTTTTATTTGGCCACTTAGGTCCTTTGAAGGTTGTTTGGTTTTATTCCCTGATGACGGAAGGATGGATTGGTTTTAATTCTCTTCATTAAGAGGGCACTGCCATAAAATCAGACACTTTTCATGTTGTCATCACTCAACAAACGTGAAACACAATAAAATGAAGTCAAGTGAGTAGTACGAAGGGTAGATTCTACTGTGTACACAGGTCACACAGCTTTTGTTCATGTTCCACTCCGTGACACAGCTAGCAAAGGGTGTGTCCAAGTATTTACAGAGCACTACAACTGGTATTTATTCTCTTTTAGCCATTTGTTACATGACTTAGTGGCATGTTATGGGTCATAGTTCATTTGGAAGACACCTTTGGGTCCCAGCTTTAATTTCCTGCCTTACATGGTAAAGTGTCTTCTACCTTTTTTAAAGTCCATTTTTAGTTTTTAAAAACCATGGGACACTTGTCAGAGATTAGGTCTTTGTCCCCATCTCTATTAGCAAACTAGAATCTGTTTTTTAAAGTTGCTTCTTCGATTAATTGCTTTTTCCCCAGTGGATGGTTTTAAAGCAATCTCAGTATGTCAGTGGTTTTACTGTGGATATTGATACCTCATTACCGCAGTAGATATGCACCTTTAACACAAAAAGGGTTTCATATGTGAAACACAGAATCATTTGCCCTAAGTAGAACGTTCAGCCAGAAAGACAGCTGGACATTCTCTCATAATAATGGAAACAGATAAATATTGCACATTTTGACAACTGGAAATTGTTCTAAAGAATTTGGTTTGTTTGTTTGAGATTTTGATTCCAGAACTCTTGGACTATATAATTAGATTTTTCCATTGGGACACCGCTAGTTTAGGGTACCTTAAAAGCAATCCACATATACATCATCACCCGAGCTTTTAGAAATAAAGGTCATCTTAGTTTCTTTAATTTACTGAAAGTGAATTTCTTTTAGTTTAAAATAAAAAATATATATTTCTGGCATGTAAGCAAATAAAAATAAGTTTTATAACCCCCAATGATTTGAATCTGGAAAAGTTTATAATAATTTATTTAATGATCGTGTCACTACCGACACATCCTTACTGTCTCGCTCCTTATTTCCTGACTTATTTCCATTTCACAGCTTTGTTCTTGTCATCTTGAGCTGTGCTACATCCACGCTGCCAGCCTACATGCCTTCCACAGAACGTAAGAAGTTCACTCATTCCTGTTCCTCCTCTCTGCAACCCTTTGCCTTCCTCTGTTACATGACCATCCCATTTTAACTCGCATACCAAGAATTGTCTGAGCGCATAGTTTTGTACTTTGTTAAGACCTTGGGCTTAACAAAATGAGTTGGATTCAGCTTTGTAAGGGTCGATTTGTGTTTCTAGTGAATTCCCTCTGCCCCCTGTTGGCTGTTTTCCCTTCCTGCCATCCGCCCAACAACCAGGCTTGGTTCTTTCTGAGCTGTGTGGTGGTAACTGCTGTTTATTTGACTCCCTGAGTCATCAGTGTAAAGATCAATGTGTTTTTCTCTTGCAGCTCCTATGGGAGGAGGTGCATGTTTGCTCTCTTCTTTTTTTCTCCTATCTGGCAAAAAATATGCACAACTTTCCTTCTGTTATCCCCCAAACTTCTCCTGTCACTTTTTAATGCTAAATCTGGTGTTTCTTTCTGTCTTCTCTCATGCATCTCGGCCTGATCTCTCCATGTCCTCCTCTCCTCATTACTTCATCCTCTCTGTCAGTGCTAAACTTCTACCTTGACTCCCGTTGGGGTCTCCATGCTGACCGGTTGGTGGTAAGCAAAGAGCAACGTGGGGCTCGGAGCGTCCCTGGCCTCTCCTTGCTGCAGGCTGCCGACCACGCCCTCACTTCCTGCCACCTCACGTCAGACCTCCTGGTGGGGGATGTAGCCATCACACAAGGAAGACACTACTGGGCATGCTCAGTCGAGCCTGGGTCTTACCTTGTAAAGGCAAGTTTGCTATAGTTGTACTCCTTGTTGCACCAAATAAAGTTAGCAAACTTGTTGAGGAACTATTAATCTCTTTTACTCATATAGCCTGTAAATAAAAACAGTAACAATCAAAAGGCAAGAAGATTTACTTTAACTGCAGCACTGATATTTGGTTTATTTTCTCTTGCAGTGATCAGAGTCCTGTACATTAAACTGCACAAAATATTGTGATAATACTTAGGTATTTTATGTTATGTAAAGTATTTGCTTTCATGCGTTTGAATTTTCATTATAGGATTTGATGACTGATATTTTTGCACAGATGTGGATAAATGTGGATCATATAAATAGATTCAATTTTTCTTTATATTGTATTTCTTATCCCATTGTTTACATTTTATAAACAATCTTTTCAGAAAAAAAACATGAAAACAACCACTGTAAACATTAATGAAGCTGCCCTAAAACATTTTAGCCCCTTTTTCACTGTTAGCACCGGGATTTAAAGCCCTGGGATTTCCTAAGTAATTGGAACCTAGGGTAATTCACACGTCAGCTTTCTCTTTACTCTGAAAGTGCAGAGACAATAAGCCTGAGAGAAACTGCACTACACCTTCAGTCCAGGGGGGCGGTAATGAGAACATACAAGTGGTTGTCAACCTGCAACAGCCCATAGTTGCATGTTTAAAATAACTGCTTAAATCAGATGAATTTTTTTTCCCTTTTATTTTCATGATCAGTAGTTAAATCTCACATCTGCTACATGCAAATGTTTTTTAGTCATAATTTCTTAAAGTTGTTTCTTAAAGCATTTTGGAATGTATCTGCCTCTTCTGAGGCCTTTCTTTTCTTCTCATACACTTCATAGACACTTTTTCTCTTATGACCCTCAGTCATTTTCAAAGAACCGTTGTGAGAAAGGTGAGCTTCAATCACTGTCTGAAACAGTAGCTCACTATATGCGGCTGAAAATGTGCATACGCAGAAAAAGATGGCTAACGAGACAAGCATGTAGAATGGCCTTACCTTAACATATCACAGAATGATTGACAATTACAGTAAGAGGACCACTTAGTTAAATGATCCACCTGGAAAGAAAAGATCGTCATCTA